AGTTCAATTTAGATGTATCTGTGTTCTTCTTATTTGTATGTTTGTTAGCTTTTGAAAATTTGACATAAACAAATAAAAATAAGAAGATGTGGTATTATTTCCAATGAGACAACTTTCCACCAGAGACCAAATGACACAGATATTGACAACTATAGGTCACCGTACGGCCTTCAACAATGAGTAAAACCGATACCACATAGTCAGCTATAAAAGGAAACGAGAAAACTGATTTATGTACAAAATAATGTTATTTAGAAAAACGTACAAAACAATATGCCAAATAAATTAAATCATAAAATTTTGATTAATTGATAAATTTGCTCGTTTAACACTTTATTAGATACATGCTGCTTTTAAAACTTTTTAACTGTTAATAGCTCAAACTATGCTGACCCTTGGGTATAATTATGGACATGGCTAGTTAAGAATAGAACGGACAAATAAACTTCAGATGACCCTGAAATATTTCGTTTCATCCATGTTAAAAGGACGTTTGGTTTTGAAAGGTATTTACAAAACAAGACTTAAAATTTTAAAATTAACAATGCATTGGTGATTCAAACAGAGGATTAAAATGAAAAATTCAACTCTAGACGTCGAGACTTGTTATGAATGTGTAGTTTTTGAATTTCAAATTTGTTTTAAACCTCCATTTTGTAAATGTAAGTACTTGTTCTTTGAATATTGGAATGGGATAGGGAGGGAGGGGAGCTGAAGTACTGGAATGGGATAAGGGGAGAGGCTGAAAGGAGGGAATTGTCTGAAGTCCTGATTTTAGATACTCAATTGTATTGGGGTGTCCGATATCCTGATCTTAAAGATCGACCATTTAACTTTGAGGGGGTATGGGGTTTTTTTTCAATCTGCATTTTATTTTATACCTCGCAAGGATCAAATTATTTAATTTTTGTCGCGCACAGTCCGATATTGTATGTTTTTTTTTTGAGAACTTAAAATGTAATGACAAAAACTCTCAATCTCTCAATCATGATATTTTCTTTCCTTCTCCATTATGAAAACATTTGTTTCTTCAATGTTGGGAATCTGAATCACAATGATTTTTTTGGTAAAAAAACATATCCCCATCTCCCCTTTTTCAGAGTTTAATGGTCGTTTCCATACGTATATTATGGAATTCACATTTATCTATATATTAATTTTTAATGTACTGAAAATTCTTGGTTTATATTGTTAAATTTGAACTACTTCCTTCTATATTCTAAAAAATGGTCAAATTGATTCCTATTTTAACAAGTTAAGATGAAAATGTTATATAAATACTATACATGAAACTTTTTTTTACCATGACAATCAACGCTATTTCAAATATTCAAGTAATATTTGAAGCCGAGAAAATTACGATAAATTATCAGGAAATTGCACTAAGAAAATACAAGATCTTTATAGGAATCATGTTATTTTTTCGTGTTAGAAAGATTTTCACAAGCACTTAATTCTTACATTGGCTGATGCCGTAGATTCAGGAGAGAAGGCAAAATTTGACGAAAATTAGGGATGGGAGCATACCTGTTTTGTTTCAAGGCACAAGCTTAAGAACTATATTTTTAAAACTTGCCAATTAGAAACTTTTAAAATGTACAGAACAGAATAGAATAGAATAGAATATTTTTATTTCCGAAATTACAGGGCCCATAAAGAGCATAAAATTGGATACAATTGATTGACGTAATTGATAATTACAACAATAAACATCACAGTGTACATGTAAATGTATATTTAGTATATTAGCATTGGTCAGAATTAGAGCCAACAACAATATATATTATGAATGCACAATTAGATAATAAAATTACATTATATCTACATATACGGTATGACTGAGTTGTTCTCATTGTTGAAGGCCGTACAGTTACCTTTAATTGCTTACATCCACTTCAGTTGAACTGGGTGGATAGTTTTCTCGTTGGCAATCATACCACATCTCCTTATTTTTATATACTCTATCTCACAAAAGAATAGAATTTAACAAGTCAATAATATGTCATTGCGTCCCCTGTCCTCGGGACTAAATACTTTTTTTTTTCAAAAAGGAAACCGATATTGATCGTCTGAATATGAGTGACAATGTTTCATATGTTGTCATCAGAGTTCGGGAAAAGTGTTGGTCCGAAGATTTTCTTCAAAGATCACCAGGGGAAAAAAATTCGCGAACTTTGTGTCATGTAAACATAACCTGGATAAATGGCGATTTTATTTTACTGAAATGAAGATTGAATTTCATTCAATGGCTTTACGTTGTTTTCTTAGGATTTGTTCTTTCGGAATTTGTAAATGTCTCTCTCTTTCTATTAGCAAATATTATAGTCAGTTATTGGGAATTTTCTTTAATCAAAATATAAAATTTATCCTAAGAGTGATTAATACTGATTTTCTACATAAGTCTACTAAATTGGGCAACTAATGCATTGGATATCTTGGTCATTAGTCAGATTTAGCAATATCTCCTGTTCTGTTCGGTGATTGGATTCTTTCTCGCACCTGCTGACCATAATGAAAGTACTGTCATTTTTTTACACAAGGTCAGACAGATGGCGTTCTTTTCTAACCATGTCATGGCAGACAAAGCTTTAAATAGATATATAACGAGGTAGCCTGCTGGGACATCAACGTACCATAAAATTTTGCAACCATTTAATTCATAAATGTGAAAATATAGTAGTGTCTGGCTAAGTCACCATTGCTTTCAAGAATGCTAGATAACTTATTCGTTGTGTGCTCGTCTCGAGTGCAGGAGGCCCGGCTGAATTTAAGGGGACGACCATTTAGTATTCTAGTGTGCGGAATTAAGAACTGGTCGGCTCGTAGTCTGAATAATGTGTCTGAGTAATTTGATATGTTAACAAGTCAGCAAGCACGTTAAACATTGGACTCTTGTGTTGGTTTAGTATATTGGGTATAATGCACATAAAATTGCACTTTTGACAGGCAATTGGTCGATTTACTAATTACAAAATTTTACACAATTTCATAAATGTGAAAAGAAAGTTTCTGTCTGTTTATTTGAATCAAATTGAAATACGTATAACCCCCTCCTCCTGGTTTTTACCTAGACTAAGCACTGAGATTGTCTCAGCTATGCATTAGAGAAATATTGCCCTTCAAGCATACAATTTTCAATTTCTTTTAAAAATGTGCATCTTAAATGCACCTCTTGTAATATATTTTGCTATTTTGTTTCAATATATATTTCATATTTATCTACAATACATTAAATATGAAAAATGCAGAGATGACTTTATCGCATCGAAAAGTCAGTCTAGTTTTTCCAATGCTTGTATTTTCCACATTTATAATATTTTAGTAATGAATTGTTGAAAAAGATGTCTATGAACATGTTATTTCAAATATCGACAACTGTAATCATCGGACAGATTTTTTTCTCTTTCCCGCCAAAAATGTTATTATATAGTACACTTAGGGGGAAACATAAATTTAGGCAAATATCAACAAATAAAGATTTCTATAAATTTTCTTTTTATCCTCGCACTATTTCGGACTGGAACTCACTACCTGAAGCAATAGGTATGTCTGACACCCTGGAATCCTTCAAAAGTGGCATATCCACTCTAACATTTGAAGGATCCACAACAACTTATTAAACTACAAAGCCACTGTACATAATGTATATATGTTATTGTTATTGATTTTTCTTTGTCATATTATTTTTAAATTAAGTCCATATGTACATAGCACACAAGTTCCGGGAAGTTTTACACTCCTACCTAGGAGTCTACTCCCGTATTCGGAAGAAGAAGAAGAAGAAGGTTACGCATTGTCATATATAGATTAGATTAGCTTTATCCTATTAAATATTTGATTTATATGATTTTAATATTATGTTAAACTCAGACAAAAAATTTATGTATGTGCTTCTTGGTAAAGTTAGATAGAATATTAGGGCCGGCAGGTCAGCAAAAATCAAGTTAAAAAAAATACAATATGTTCCAAACGTAGTCACGTGTTTAATATGGCCTTGAGTAATTAAGTATTACTCTTTCAGACGATCGATTTACTGACTACAGAATTCCACAGCTGGTCATGTAAAGGTTCATAGCAAGGTTGTCATTACTAAACAAGTCCAATCGTTACTTTACACAGTGTGTAAAAGTAACAACCATTTAAAGAGTTCATTTCAGTTGGTTCAAACTGCTGCAGTATGTAATGGCACCGCATTCTTAGTTCGGCCTTGTAAAAGTTCGTCCCTTTACTTTTTAAAAATCTTTGATGAAACCTATGCATCATTGGAAACGAAGCGTTAACTTATCAGACAGGTGGATCTATACAATACCTTCAAGCTCGATCAATCGTTCAGTCTATAAAAGTTGTGAATAAAAACACAAACATTCAAAAATCTGCCGTTAACACCAAATCCTCCAAATAACAAACAAAAAATTAAGAATCATAGTTTAATTTATTCCCAATTTTTTGGATGATTTATATTTTGATATTTTGTAAAGACATCCGTCTATTGTTGAACTATTGTTAACTATATGTTACTCTCTATCGAGATGTCTTTTGGTTATTTTAGTACTTTTGTTGCCTTTTCATAGACGTTTACCCCATTTCTGAGGGTCATTTCTGTATTCTTTATTTATTGTGCCAATTATTCTGTACTCTTTATATTTTAACAACCCATTATTCTCTATTCTTTTTTTTTGGTCCATTTTTCTGTTCTTTCTGTCAATCATTCTCTTTTCTGTAAACCCCATCCAGACCCTCATATCTCATTTTTTATTAAAATAATCCCTAAGTACTGTGTTTTTTTCGGGAATTTTATCGTCTGGCTGCAAGCTCCACACTGTTAGGACTAGATCCCGTATTATTATCCTAGTAAACCGTACTTAAACCAAATTAGAAGTCTTCTTATTCGACACCTCCTGTGTACACCGGACTCAAAGTAAAGAACAGTCGTATAATAATAATATATTGATTTAGTCACCTTTTTTATATATGTATATACTTTATTTATTTATTTTCAGTATCCCTACTGTTTGTATGTCTACCAAGTGTCAAATAATACAGGTCAGATGAAACCATCTCTAAAAGATGTATGTTACTCCTGGAAGATTTGTATCTGATGGCCCACGTGACTGCCACGGGTAACCATAGGGGACTGGTAGATCTTATGAATGGAATTGTAGGAGCAAAAGGTGAGTTCAAATATGGGGTACCTATTTATTATTTGGTTAATACTATGTTATTATTTTATTTAACTTGATTTAAAACATAATAAATTTGTATGCTTTTTGTTTCGCTTATATGAATTTCTGTACAATAAGGATTTACCACATGTAATGTAGTGGCAAAAACGTTATTATATGATAAATTGGCAAACATGATGTGATAATATGATAAAAGTTGCCAAACTGTGGCAAAAAAAAATACATAATAGTCACTGTTATTTAATCATTTTTAAAAATGTGTCCAAAATGTAATTATAAAAATTCATTGTGTCAAAGATGTGATTATATGATTACTTTGACAATAACCGTTATCATATTGTAACTGTGTCCAAAATGTGATTATATTATTACTGTCCAAAATGTGATTATATTATCACTAGGTCAAAAATATGAGTATATGATGTGTGTGGCAAAAAGGTGATTATAAGATTACTGTGGCAAAAAAAATAGAATTTGGATTTCAAAAGAGTTAAATTCGCTTATGTGTAAATAGGTCCAATATTTTGACCTTTTTAAAAGTTGCTAGTAACAAAACAATTATCATGTAGTTGAAACGAGAAGACGGTAGTAACTTGGTTCAAATGATTTCAAATCTTTAGAATTCCAATTTTGTTTTCCTCTGATATTTTAAAGGAGGATCGGTTACCAAGCAACCTCGTAGCAGAACATCTAGTTTAAGAAAAAAAGACAGCAGCTGTAACATAGAACATTTTCTTTTGTTTCGAAGTCCATCAATTGTACGTTTGAAAGCAACCTAATTGGTTTGAAAGGCAATGACGCTTGCTATACTGTTGAGCAAGGGTAAAAATGTTGGATAGAAGATACAATTATAAATCAGTAAAAATCCTTACAATAAATCCCAAACGATCTAATTATTTAGAGAAATGATTTAGGTATTTACGGAACCTTATGATTCTCTTCTACCGTTCTCTTCTGTTGTTCAAATGCCAATCTTTCTGTTGCGTTGTATAAAGTGCAGGCAACTCGAAATGACTGGTAAATTGATTCTCGTATGAATTGTTTTACAGTTGTCATTTCTGGACCTTTTATAGCTTACTATGTAATATGGGTTTTGCTCATTGTTGAATGCCGTATGGTGACCTATAGTTGTTAAGTTCTATACGTAATTTTTTCTCTGGTGGAGTTGTCTCATTGGCAATCATGCCACATCTTCTTATTTTATATTGTAATTTATGAACTTCTCCGGTGAGGAGACGATTCGACACAAAAGTAATTCAGAAGTTTTGTTAATTTCAGCTCTGATTAACCTGGAAGACTATCGAGTCCATAAATGTGTTTAGGAAAAATATCATGATGTTTATTTTAGTATCAAAGAATAGCAGCTTCTGTATAAAAAAAATGGTAACAAGTATCATGTTTGTAGTTTTTATACGCCCGTTTACGGGACGTATTATGGTATACCGTTGTCCGTCTGTCCGTCCGTCCGTCCGTCCGTCTGTCCGTCGTCAACATGTCGGACATTAACTCAAAAATGCTTAAACCAATTTGCATAAAACTTTGGTGAATTGTTTATATCTTTTGACGTGAGCTCCCTTTCGTTTTTTATAAAATTTAGATTTTACGTTTCTGAGTTATGGGGTTTTATTCATTTAAAAAAGGGGGATTTTCCAGTTTTCGGACAATAAGTCAAGAATGCTTTCACCAACTTGCAAGAAATTGTGGTGAATTGTTTATATCTATTGACATGAGCTCCCTTTTGATTTTTATAAATTTTAGATTTTACGTTTCCGAGTTACAGTGTTTTATTCATAAAAAAAGGGGGGATTTTCCAGTTTTTGGACAAAAACTCAAAAATGCTTTGAGCAATTCTTATGAAACTTTGGTGAATTGTCTGTATGTATTGATGTAAGCTCCCTTTAGAATTTTATAAATTTTACATTTTACATTTCTGAGTTATGGGGTTTTATTCATTAAAAAAAGGGGTGATTTTCCAGTTTTCAGACAATAACTCAAAAATGCTGTCACCAATTCTCATGAAACATTTGTGAATTGTTTATATCTATTGATGTAAGCTCCTTTTTTATTTTCATAAATTTCTAATATGACATTGAGAATTAATTGAACTTTATTTGTTTATAGTCTGACAACAGATTTACTAAGTATTGCACAACAGCAAGAAATCTTAATTGAATATAAATTCAATTCATATAACCAATTTCAAGTCCTTTGACTACATTTATTCAGAAACCTATAATATGTCAAATATTTAATTACAATCCAAATTCAGACCTGAATCAAGCTTGAATATTGTGTCCATTTTTGCCCCAACTGTTCAGGGTTGGACCTCTGCGGGCGTATCTAGCTGCGCTCAGCGAAACAGTTTATTTTTTAATGAAACGAACTGTCTTTCTGTACAAGTGCACTTATTCATGCACTTCAGTTAAATTATTGCATTCATAGAAGTTACATGTATCCCCTTAAAATGCGGACGACATCTTTTTTGCTTGGTTAACTATAATTCAGCATTACTGCTCGGACCCAGATATAAATAAAATGATAGGCTTCCTGCATATATATATTAATGACCATCAATACATATTCGCGGTCATCAAAATTATTCATAAGATATTCATAAAACACTCCTACACATAAACATCTTGAAGACGAGGGTGTAGAAGCATACGTGAAACATCGATTGATGTTCAAAGAACACTCCCACAGACCTACACACTCATAGTGAAGACGAGGGTGTAGAAGCATACATAAAACATCGATGGAGGTTCAAAGAACACTCCCACAGACCTACACACACATCGTGAAGACGAGGGTGTTGAAGCAGACTTGAGACATCGGTAGAGGCTCATAAAGAAATTATCTTTACATCAGATGAAACATGCCGGGGAATGACATCCGTCCGTCCGTATTTTCTGTTGCCTCGGTTGCAATGTTTTCTTGGGGGTGGGGACAATCTACTCTTTCCCCTCACATCTATGTGTTTTACACATATTTATAAATGATCAGGGGTAGGGATTATATCCTGAAATATTAGACACTGGTCATAGTAGTCAGAAACGGTTGTAATATATGATAAGGTTATTGATACTGATTAACAAATTATCCGAATTTGTTATCTATAGTGTCAAAGGTCATTAACTAATCTAAAATTTGTCAATGATTTAAGTAATCATTTCTTTATCTCATCCGATTATACTTGATATGACATTACGTCTGCTAATAGTTTAAAAAAATGGAATAAAACATAATTTCAAAGATTCAAACTATATAAGTATATGATATCCAAGCAACAGCTACAAAATAGATCCAAATGTATCCCTCGCTGTTCGGTTGCATATCTTTTTGTATTTTGATGAAAATTATAAGAATAAGAATAAAGACGCAGTTACCGAGCCTCTGTATTACACAGCTTTTAATTGTATTTAATATTGAATAAATAATATGATTTAATATTATTTTCATCGTATATTTAAGTAATTATATCAATTTTCTTCATTTTAATGTATGATCCTCATCAGTGGACCAATGATTTGAAAACAAAATATAATTTGTTCTTTATATTTGACGGTTATGGGGTCCCTCCATTATAACCCCAGTTTTATATGACACGAAGGCCTTGGTCATTCCGATCGACCAAGGTACTAATTCTAGTCCGAAAATAAATCATTTAGTGTTGTCGTCTGCTACCATATTAGTTTTTCATTTGTTAAGTATGACACACACCCGCCATTTCCGGGTCGCGAACTTTATGAAAAGAGCCACTTCACTGAATATCAAATATTAAAATCTTTGATCGTTATGTCGCTTGTGTACTTGAACAAGTTCGCTGACATGGATAATTGACCTTTTGGCTAAGGCGATCTTAATTTGAAAACATGTTTTTTTTTATTCAATCAATGGTAACTTTTCTACACTTACCAGTCATCTAAGAAATAAAACACACACACAAACAAAACAATCATAAACTAAACATGCCGTACACGTATTGTTCAACTTCAATGCCGAAGTATTTTACTGAAGTGTAGATTTTTTTTATTTTTGAACCAAATAATGATTTAGGACGTTCACATTTCTTAGGTCATATGAACCCTTTAAAACCTAAATTCTTGATTTTTCAAAATATTTTCTGTGCTTTTTTTTTAAAGAGACCACGAAAGAAGTGGACGCCAAACAAAGAAAAAATATCTTTGGCCTAATAACATGTGTCTGCAACAGCTGCTTTCTTAAGTAGCTTAAAGGTCATAGGTTATATCCATTATGTGTTACACATATTTTGATCAACAGTTTCAATATTTCTAACTTTCTAACTGATTGTTGCTTGCCTAAAGTTCAGTGCCATTCTGTTAAAACCTTCAACTACACACAAAAAAATGGTTTAAGATGGTACCAAACACCTTGACTAAAATTAATTTGGCTCGTTTAATTTACATAAAATTTTGACAAAATATTTACTTTGACCCTTTGATAAAAATATAATTTTTTTTAAAAACTTGAACCAAACACTTTATCGGAAAAATTTCATTGGATATAACACTAATTTTAATCATTAAGAAGCTTAATATTTCCTTAACAATAGAACGTGATTAAAACGTTCAGCTGATTTTTACAGAGTTATCTCCCTGTAGTGTTATGTACCACCTTAAGATTTATTTGCCATTGAAGATAATTAACAGGCCGGTACTTCAGGACGTTAGTCAACAACAATCAAGCAATCGCCCAAAGGAATTACTTCACATGCGCTCGATAGTCATAGACATTTCACCCTTTTCAATAATTTCTCTTGCTGTCTTTTTAATATAAATTTTTACATTATTCCAGTGTGAAGTGATATGGTGTATTCACTGCTGACACATTATCCCTTCATTTGATGATGTATAGATTAATGATACAGTTTTCCCTGCTACAGGCGCTTGATAAAACCTACAGGAACGGAAAAACGCTAGTATTGCATTTCAAAGTCAAAGTGAGGCTTTACACAAACGCTCATAACTCGCTGCTGAAATTCTGTGTAAAATTTCTATAAAGCTACAATAGAATATAAAACATTTTTTTATTCAGTCAATTTCAAGTTCGTTAATCGTATATGTAGTGAATTTAACAGTACATACAGAAGATAATATGGAGAGAGATAGAGCAAAATACATTTTAATTTTCGCCAAAAAAAAAGTTAAAAATTTTATTAAAATAACTTCGATTATCTCCCTTTGAGCAGTATCTTATTAAAATTTTGTCATTTGTCATGTAGCATTCAGGTGCGGATCCAGGATTTTGAAAAGGGGAACCCCTGGCTAGCCAACTTGTAAAAAGTCTTAAGCATTTATCGCATATAAAACTTCATAAGGGGGCCAGGTCGTTACCCCAACCCCCCAAAAAAAAACTAAATCCGCCTCTGGCATTATATGTATATTATACCTTGTCCCAGATGGGCATTTGATTAAAGTAAATTTGGTTAGAATAAAGTTATATTAGTATTGTAGTACGGGGTAATATCTACATATATAATAGTAAAGTTATATTAGTATTGTAGTACAGGGTAATATCTACATATATAATAATAAAGTTATATTAGTATTGTAGTACGGGGTAATATCTACATATATAATAATAAAGTTATATTAGTATTGTAGTATGGGGTAATATCTACATATATAAACAACATAACGGTAAACGAAATCTAACAAAGGTTGCCCTGTTAACGTATATTTGTTCCCCTGGAAACTTTGTTATTACCAATTCCAAGGAACGAATTCTGTAATTTTGTTCTTGTGAATATTTCTTCCATTCGTAAATTGTATTACGGAGGAGCTTCTATTTCATGACAACCCAACTGCCCAAAAATCTCGTGGAAAATACAGAAGCCAGGCACACATTAAAACAAACACAAGATACATCTATATATTTGTAAGAGAACGTTACATAAGATACAAATAGGGACAACAATGAGATCTATTGACTGTTAGTTGCTTCACGTCCAGTGGCAAATATTTCATGCATGTTCAGGACGAACAACAATTAGAATTAACTGCATGCATAACAATTTGGAAAACATATATTTATACATACCGAAAAAGACGAATTATTGGCTAAATATTTGAAGCAAACCATAGTTTTGACGCCCACATTTAACAGGTGAGGGGGCTTAGTCTATCTTCTTTGCCCAGAGAAAAGTCTCTAACAATCCTTGTTTATTAAAATTCGTTATAATGAAGGGAAAATACACAAGAAAAAAAAATTCTTTCAGATATAATATCGATTTTTTCCTTAAATTATTATAAATGAGCTGGTCGCACGTTACCAACTTAAGACATGGAGTTATCTATCTTTGAACAACGTGCTCCTGCTCGACTTTTTACTTGTTTAAATTTGTTTTCTCTATTTTATTTGCTTAGCATTTGAAATAAGTTGTACTGTGGTCGAACTATATAAAATAAATCTGATGAATCGATCTGTTGATATCCTTTCGGAATTTGCCGTTTCAAATTCTAAAGAAGTCTGTGTCATTTTATTGTTCATATTTCAAAATGGTAATAATCAGGGCATTAGGTACATTTCCTTTACTGATCGAGGGAGTTGTTTGCCAATCACTTTGGTGTCCGCTTTTAAAATATTACCAACGAATGCATTACATTTGCTGTGCATAGCTGCCATCTACGTCATTTGGTCTCCGGTTGATTGTTGTCTCAATTGCAATTATATATCACATTTTCTGATTTTTTTTAATTTAAATTTTGAATCAATCAAATGAAGTACGTAACTTTCTTTTAAATTCCAAATTTAATCACT